GGGGGAGAATTACGAAAAATGTGTTTTGGATACACATTTTTGAAATGTGAGAATCGGGGGATGCCCCGATTCAAAAGAACCTAAACAAATAGATGGGCGGGGCGTCGAACCGGTTAAACATTTCTCCGTTTCCGTTTTTTTCCTACCTATTTTTAAATAAAAAAGGTACTACAAACAGTTTTCCTATGTTTCAAATTAAAATTGCAAAAAAAAAAGCGAGAATCCACGTTTCTATAATAAATGAATGTCCGTTAGTTTAATTCGTAGGTTATCCGTTGTGCGGTTAACTTATTCCTACATTCTAAATCCACAATTGAACCATCGCAAAAGACAATTAAGCGGAATTATTACGAACCATTAAATAATCCAAATTTCGATATGACCTGTGGTAATTTCTTGTCGGTTTGACGCGGTCGGAGTCATTTTTGTCACATTATCAATCTTAATCAAATATTGCACGATTTCTATATCGAAACAATTAGATTCCCAAAAAAACGGGACCATGTGCATTATAAATTAATTTCAAATAACGAATATATTTTAAAAACATTTTTATAATAAAAAAAACCCAGTTTCAATTTATAAACAGCGAAAAAACCGATTTGTTAGTATTTTTTTCAATTTCTACGCAATTTGATTTCAAACTGACGCCGACCGCGACGCATACGCAACGCGGCTGCCTAAGCGCGCGCAAATTTGAATACTCGGCTTTGGCCCGGCTAAAAACTTCGAAACGATAAGTAATTTGTGTATTGTACCATGGTACCTAAAACACACTGCATTTTTTGTATGCTCGTTTTTTTTTGTGGCAAATGGCTCTCTGAAAAAAATATGGTTTGAAATAAATTATAATTTACTTTTCATATATATATATATATATATATATATATATATATATATATATATATATATATATTATTTTTTCATTCAACAAACTATACAAGAAAAGCTGATTGTCATTGAATTGCATCACAAAATCATAAAAATACTCAAGCATGTAATGGAATCTGAAAAAACTTGCTTATTTTTATGGTCAAGGGCATCCGAAGGACAACAGAGAGACTGCTTACTTCAGCTTCTTCTTCTTCAAAATTCTTTCAGCCAAAACAACAATTTGCTGATTTCTGAGAAGGCACGAAGGAATGAATGGAATTCCACCGTAACCGCATTGTTTCACGAAATACAGAAAAAAAGAAGAAGAAGTGAACAAACAAGCGTAGGTGGAATGTATTGTCGAGAAAAAAGAACGAACCCAACACCACACACCTCAAAACACACCCAGAGATCAATTTGAAACAATGGGAAACCGTTATTTACGGGTGCACACAGAGTTTGCTCGAAACAATTCTGCACGTACATTTATAATAAATAAATAGGGTAAACAGAAAAAAAAAACAGTTATTTGGTTTATTGCGCGTTTTTAATCGCTTTAAATTTTATTTCTGTTTACAATTTTTCATTTTTGTATAATTTTTTTTTCAAATCGGATTAACCGTTTTTTTTTTCACAAAAATATGCAAGATTGATACTTCAAAAAGTACTTTTTATCATATAAAATCTCAATAGCATAAACTTTTCCAAGAAGACAAATAGAAACATTAAATTGCGCGTCTTTTTTTTTTGAAATTTCATAAATTATTGAAAAGAAAACAATTTTTTGACCTTGAAATGCCGCAGATTACTACATTTTTTGATGAGATGACTAAGTATATATAGCTAAGAGTGTCTTTTTTTCTGGCTGATCCGTAGTTTGTCGTAACTTGACACGTGTTATGTTTTTTGTTGGTCGAAAAAAACTAAACCAATCTCAAAAACTTAAAAATAATTACTGCACAACGAAAGAATCAACATAATCTGGAAAATGGGAATCCGATTCGAAATTCTTATCTGCCAGTTCCGGACGTCTAATAACAACCAGCACGGCGATTGGGGGGGTCTCGCACAGATATTTGCTGGAGGGGATGATGGGGGTTTTCGAAGGCCAAAATCTTGTGGGGTATCTCGCAAAGAAAACATGGTCCCATGACGGTAATATTTGGGCATCGCGACGGCTGATATGAGCGTTCCGCTCGAATGCAGTGTCTTTCCCACAAATGGTCGTTTCTACTCGAGCGGGTCCAGCTACCGAAACAGCTCAAAAGAAACTAGTGTTGAAAATTCAAGAAAAGGGTGGTGTCAAATTATGAACCAAAAATCTAATCGAAATGCCAAACGCGAAAAAATGATACCTGATTTAGATTTGCTGGAAAAAGTGATGAAAGAATTGCATGAAACCAAATGATTTCGTTTTATTATTCTAAAATCATAAAGCCAGAATTGGCTGAATTTACAAGAATTCGCCATCAATATTTTTTCAGCTGCTATTAGTTTTTCAACATTTTTCATTGTGATTTTCGAAATATTTGAGTTTCTGTGGATCTGCAATAATGATTCTGAAAAAATGAAAAAAATATTCTCGTCGTACCACCTTAGCAAAATGAGTCCAAATAAGCCGGATGTCGATGTCAAAAATAATTGATTTCTTTTATGCTCATTTCTCGAAAATATTTCATTCAAGCAGGTGAAATTTTCGAGCGAGTTTTCAATCGAACCCAGACGCTAATTATATTCATTTCTACACAACAACCACCTGTATTCCGTTGGGGTGGTACGTGCAAAATTTCACCCAAAACGAATCGAGGAAACGCACTCCAAATTGTACGTATTTCTCATGACTAATATATATCCACATAAGCTGGCTTCTGCCGATTTATGCACTTTTTTTTGACGGACAAAATCGGCGACGCGTGAAGAATTTGAAAAGAATCGAATGACAATGAGAGAAAATTTGAGAAAACACCGGCGTTGTTTGGTGCATTCACACCCTATTGCACCAAGACAATCGAAATTCTTTTTTGAAATAATTGGATTTTGATGAGAAAGCCTAATCAGATTTCAATTTACTTGATGTCAAACAATTTTTGAAAATAGATTTTTTTACAAAAAAAGCAAAATTCAACATTTTTTTAAGAAATACATTTTTTTAATCTTTCATCTCGAAAAACCTACGACATACATTCATCACACTACATTATAGCCTTCATTATTCCAAGTAAGATTACTGAAAGCGGTTACAGACAAAGTTTGGAATATTGTAGATCAAAATAAACCCTGCAAAATCCATTTGGACACATGGGCATAGTTATTCTTTTATGGAAGTCTGATCACTCTAAGATTTTGGACAAAATGCAATAAACTTTTTAACCAAAACAAAAAAATGATTGTCTTGTATAAAACTGTCGCACTTTTTTCGAGGGGGGGGGGTAATTGAAATTAGAATTTAAATAGTGGGAATTTGGGTACCGTATTACGAATAACTTGCAAAACATCCAACATGAATGTTCAGAAGAAGGCGACTTCAGACAAGGGACTCGAGCCGAATACTAGTATCGGCAAATAATTTTCTCAAACAAAAAAAATTGAAAAATAAAATAATTGAGAGAAATTACTAAATAAGAGGAACACGAAGCTGTCAAACACACTTTTCTCGGTCGGCCACGCACTCTCCACCGAAGAATGCAATCATTTTTTTCAATTCACCTCTTCAGCCTGTGCCTTGTGCTTATGACTTGTGTTCATTGGTGGGGGGGGGGGTTTGATATTGGATTTGAATCAATTAAATTAAAAAAAAAAACATTTTTCTTTAAAAAAATAGTAACTTCATACATAAAAAAAGCAATTCATTGAATATTGTCTACATATTTAATTCGAAATTAATTTTTTTCTCATTTTCAAATTTGCATTTTTTAATCGTTTTGCAATCCATTTCAAATGATATCGATATTTATTTTTCGGTCAGAAACCTTGAGTTTTTATGACCACAATCCCGTCCGTCTTTAAAATTTTATGGCAGATCTATCCTTGATAGTTTTCGCTGTCTCGATCACACGACCGGCCACTATAAAAATACAGTATGGGAAAATAATTACTCGAATTGGAACAAATCAACAGCGGATGTTCGAAATCAAAGGTGGAAGCATGATTGAGTGCATGTAAATATGAGCTATGTATTATTGAAAGTAGGAAAATTCTGATGGAAGGCGCGGGAAAATAATCCAAACGACGAAATTCTCGCAATAATCGACGCGATGGCTGATTATCAAAATTACAGCAGACATTAAAGGCGCATGGAATAATTTGTTTCTATTCCTCATCAATTTTGGGCTGATTTCGAGGTTCTCCAACATGTTTCGCATGTCTCTTTTTAAAAGAATTCCTTCTGTTTCGACTAATCCTTATGAATTTGTGAATTCTGCAATTCAGAGAAGTTTGATTTCGCGGTTGACTTTTTTGATAATTTCACTTGTGAACGGATAGGCATCTATCAATTTTTCTGAAAGAAGAGATATCAGGCTGAAATTTCAATTAGCTTTTGATTTCAAAAAAGATTTCAATTTTCATCTTTTTTAATGTGTAAAATTAGTTCCTACAAGTTCGCCTGATTTCTAAATACATATTGCACCATACATTCGTTGAGGTTTCTCCAGAATATTGTCCATCGTAAAAAAAATATAAAAAGAATTTCGAAAAATAAAATAAAAATAAACGGGAGCGCATATTGAATAATTACAGTAGCCACCTTGTTTGGGAAACAGACTACAGTACCGTCCATAAATATTTCAAGCATGCTGAACAATTCCGGAAAATTTATTACTGATTTTATAAGCCAAACTTAAGATATGGCCAAAATCGACTCGGTTCGTATATGGTACTGTCCGTATCTTCATTACAAGGTTACTATAGGAAACACAACAATTATTCGATTTCATCGGAACTCGAACGAACTGCGCCTTCAACATGCCTTATCATGGAATTCTGCAATCAAACGCCATTGTCTCTCTTTCTCATTTGATCTGACATCTCAGGTTTGCCGCATGGACACCACGTGTGGTTACGCCCCTTCTCTCGACTGTTTCCCATATTAGGCGATCAGATATACAGCTAGTCTACTGTGAGCGGCGATGTCGAAAATTGCTGATGTTTTTGAGGACAACATCTTCTTGCCGAATCTCATCGATTATCCGAATGCGTTTCTTTCGGAGAAGACTGGAGTTCCACGAGCTCCGAGACGCCCGTGTCCATTGAGCGATTCGGAGAAAAAAGTATTAATCATATACATATATATCATCGTTTTCAGGTTTTATGTCAAATTTTCAGATTGCTGTCAAAAATATTCTCCGGTATTGTCCAACTCGTTTTCACGACCGACTTGCCACCGAATTTCTCGAGGAACTCGACAAATATGGCCATATTTACGCATTCCGCTTTTGTCCTCCGTTCGACTTGAAGGCGCCGGCTATCACCGAAATTCCGGCCAAAACTCAACAAGGCGCTGCGATTATTTTGATGATTTTGAACAATTTGGATCCAAAAGTCGCGCAATTTCCCAGAGAATTGGTCACTTATGGTGGAAACGGACAAGTTTTCAGGTATCTCTAACCACGTTCTCGAGACGTTTCGATTATCAAAAAAAAAACTCGTTTTAACATGATAGCAAAAAAAAATCAATTTATCTTATCTCTAATTTTGGCGCGAAAATTCTCGAAACTGAGATCAATGAAACATTTCAAAAAATTTAAAAACAACCGTTGCCAAATGAGAGATTATTGGGATAGGTCTTGGCGCAAAACTCAAAGTGTAGATTTACGAGCCTATGTATAAGATTAGTTTAAAGTCCGCCCTAGCGTAGAATTATATGAAATATCGATTGCAGCAATTGGCTCCAATTCCGTCTCACCATCAAATATCTTCTTCAAATGGAAATGAACCAATCGCTGGTGTTGAACTCCGGACATCCTTTGGGATTATTCCCATCGTATGTTGAATCGCCGAGATTGACTATCACTAATGGAATGGTAATCGATTCATTCGATTCGTTATGCACATAGCAACGCAATATTTGTGCAGATGATTCCAAGATATTCCACAAAGGAATTGTACGACAAGTTCTTTGCAATGGGAGTCACTCAATACGGCCAAATGACTGCCGGTAGCTTCTGTTATATTGGACCACAAGGAATTGTGCACGGGACCACTGTATGTGGCCTAATCGCGAAACGAGTATTTTTTTTTGGATATTTAGATCACAGTTCTCAATGCCGGACGCCGTCAAGGTCACGCAAACCTCTCCGGAAAAGTATTTGTTACATCCGGATTGGGCGGAATGAGCGGTGCCCAATCGAAGGCGGCCAAGATTGCCGGATGTGTCGGAGTGATCGCCGAGGTCTGCGAGGCGGCCTTGATGAAGCGCCACAATCAGGGATGGCTCGATGTGTACTCAAAAGATCTCAATCAGATTATCGATTGGATCAAAGAGTATCGAAAGAAACGAACAGCGATCAGCATTGGCTACCTAGGCAATGTTGTGGATTTGTGGGAGAAGTTGGCCGATGAGCCCGAATTCCTTGTGGATCTTGGATCGGATCAAACCTCACTGCATAATCCATTCCTTGGTGGATACTATCCATCTGGTCTCACTTTTGATGAGTCGAATGAGATGATGACTGCGAAACCGGACGAATTCAAAAGATTGGTCCAAGATAGGTAATTTCCATTAATTCGTCTCAAATACGAAGAATATGTATATGTTTGAGCTTACGCCGTCAAATCGCGGCGATCGATAAACTCTCGACGAAAGGAATGTACTTCTGGGATTACGGAAACGCATTCCTTCTTGAATGTCAACGTGCTGGAGCTAACATGCTAAGACCGGATGCCGAAGATGACAAATCGTTCAGATATCCGAGCTACATGCAGGATATTATGGGAGACATATTCTCGATGGGATTCGGACCATTCCGTTGGGTTTGCACGAGCGGTTTCGAGGATGATCTCAAACAAACCGACATGGCTGCTGCAAATATTCTCACCCAACTACAAGAGACCAATGGTGAACATTCAAGAAATCAATGCTTGTCATTTTCTGAATTACAGTTCCAGAACGCGTAAAAGAACAATACGCGGATAACCTCAAGTGGATCATTGAGGCTGAACAAAATCAATTGGTTGTCGGATCGCAGGCGAGAATTTTGTATTCGGATCGAGGCGGAAGAGTGGCATTGGCGAAAAAATTCAATTCTCTTATCAAATCGGGAGTAGTCAAAGTGAGACATTTTTTTTTTGAAAAAATTTCAAGGGCCAACATATGGGAGAGGTGTCCCATTTATCATTTGAATTGTCGTCATCGGTTTCGTATAGAAAACTCTAACCAGCGAGATTATTTGAGATAATTATTGTGTGTGTGAAAGAGAATAATTATTTTAACATAAGAATTAAATAATAAGATGAATGTAATGACTGAGTACGAGCATATTTTCGTTTACAGCAATTCAAATGTGGGCCGTCCACGACTACATAAAATTATACATATTTTAAAATTGAAATTTCAAATTTTCCATTAATCACAAAATTCTGGAATTATTCGGACCGATTTGTAGGGTCCGATTGTAATCTCACGCGACCATCACGACGTTTCTGGAACCGATTCGCCGTTCCGCGAGACATCCAACATTTACGACGGAAGTGCGTTCACCGCAGACATGGCTGTGCAAAATTGCATCGGTGAGTCGTCGTAAATCACGTTGCGATTAATGTGAGCGAACTTGCTCGAATCGCAAAAAAGCCAGATGGATGAAAAAGAAAAAAAAATCAAGAAATGCGGTGGTTGGGTTGTCTTCTTTTGATGGAACCTTTGAGGATGACAGAAGATTGCGATCGGATTCCGAAATTCAATGATCCGATGTGAAATATGCATTTTAAGGCGATGCGATGCGCGGCGCTACTTGGGTATCCCTTCACAACGGCGGCGGGGTCGGATGGGGTGACGTCATCAACGGCGGATTCGGATTCGTTCTTGACGGAAGCGACAAATGCGCTGAAATGGCAGAGAAGATGCTCAATTGGGATGTTCCGAATGGCGTTGCTCGTCGCTCATGGGCTGGCAATCGAATAGCCGAAGAAACGATCGGACGCACCGAACTCGAAGTTCGTGGGCTTCATGTAACGAAACCATATCACGTTGAGGATGAGATCATCGAGAAAACATTCAAAAAGTAAAACTTCGATAATTATTCATTTCTCCTTACATAAGATGATAAAAAATAAAATACAATAAATTTGTTGTCATTTTTTTGTTTATTGTGTATGTGTGGTGTGTATTCGGAAGGATTCGCGAAATTAAAAGAAGAACGGAGAATGCGGAACGAAGAAGAAGAACGATTCGTAGAAGCACAAAAAGCAAGAAAATGGTTCGTGTAGAATTACCACAAATTATGAGAAGAGAGTACGGAGCGTCAACTTCTTCCACACACCTCCTCCAGCTCCTTTTCGAGCAAAAAGCTGCCGAAAACAGTGCACACATACACGGTGGAATTTAGGAAGAAGGAGATGATGATGAAGAAGAAACGAGCGATAGCAGCAGCGGCAATATCATAACACAGCTTCACACAACAAATATATCTTCTACGGGACCATAGGTAACAAAAAAAATGGGGGGAAAAGAAATATAAAAAAAGTCGTTTGCATTTTTTTGCATTCTACCATTGTTAACGTTGGGCAAAAGTCAGTAAAAGAAGAAAATTGTGTTGTCGTGAGCCTGACAGTAATAATAAGTTTAAACTAATCGAAAAACCAATTAAATAAAGTTGGAGGAAAAACAGGAAATGATACGCAAATGTTGAAAAAAATGGGAGAAGTTTGAAAAGAAAATATGAGAGAATGTGGAGTGGTTTTTGGATTGGATTGGATTGGATCGGATTGAGTTTATAGGGGAAATTTTAAGTTTTGAACGCACGAAAATGTACGAAAATTATAGTTGGAGAGATAGGGAGAAAGGAAAAATTTTAGAAGATAATCGAGAAGGAAAAACAATTTTTAAAAAGTGAGAGAGAAGACGGATTCGTCCGGCTGTAACAGCGAGTTTACAGAATCATGCACTTGCTCTTCTTCTTCTTCTTTTGTTGTAGAGCAGCTTGAGTGGCCTTCTCGAAAACCTGCAAGTATACATATAAAATATTTGCAAATGAGTGTAGTGTAGCGAAGTGATTAATTGCCCTATTCCTAATCAGACATAATTAAAAAGATTAATCACCTCTCTGATTCCGTCCTTTGTCTTCGCGGAGCACTCGAGATAGGCAAATGCGCCAATCTGTTCCGCAATTGCTCTTCCTTGTTCTGGCTTCACTGGCTCCTGCAAATGTACCCAATTTACTCTCATTTCATTAACTCTCAAATGCAGTTTCTGCGAAACTTGTGACGAAGTTGTACGACAAAAAAATACACAACGTTAATGAAAAACAACAGGAAAATACAAACCTGCTTCATTTTGGCCAATTCTCTGACCGTCTGTGGGTCGCTTCGCAAATCCTTCTTGTTTCCAACCAAAATGATTGGCACATTCGGACAGAAATGCCTGACCTCCGGTGTCCACTTCTCTGGAATGTTCTCGAGCGAATCTGGAGAATCGATCGAGAAGCACATCAATATAACATCAGTATCCGGATAAGAAAGTGGACGAAGACGATCGTAGTCTTCTTGTCCAGCAGTATCCCAAAGTGCAAGCTCGACCTGTAATAATAAACAATGAAAATGAAACACTCCAACGCGGAGTCATATTACCTGCTTGCCGTCAACCTCGATGTCAGCGACGTAGTTTTCGAAAACGGTTGGAACATACACGTCTGGGAACTGATCCTTGCTGAAGACGATCAGCAAGCACGTCTTACCGCAGGCACCATCACCAACGATAACCAACTGCAAATTTGAAGTTGCATCAGATGAATCAGTACACGCAAAAGAATTGGCGTGTTAAGCTGCATTCAAAACCAAAACATACCTTTTTTCTAATTGCAGCCATCTATCTAGAGAGAACAGGAGGGAACACCCGTAGAACCCTGAAAACTAACAATTTGTTATTTGAAATTAGCAAAAAAAAATAAACGCGAGGAGAATGCATATCAAAATGGTACTTGAAAGGATTTTCATAGCCATATTTGTCATCGAATACTACTAAATCGAAGCCTTTTGCAAAAATGGAGATGGGGTGCGCAAAATAAATGAAATAGAAATAGCGGAAGAAGGACGTTGAAGATAAATAAGAAAAAAAAACGCGACGAAATGAAAGAAGAAAAGAAAGAGGACGAAAAAAAAAAACAGAAAATACATTTGAAAAGGAAGACGAAGAAGGTGGCACGAAGCGTTTCGATACCAATAAAATTATTTCGAAACCAGTCCTCGTTCGCTACCATCAAAATAAACCATTATATTTGTATATATATATAGAAAATGTAAAAAGCTGATGCTGGGTGTCCAGTTAAACGGATGCTGCAGTTCTCACAAATTAGCACTTTTAACAATCTGCCACCGGCCCGTTAGCTACTCACTAGGAAAAAGCGCGTGTGTACTTTGCTCATCACAATAGCGATATTGACTTAATATATTGCGTCTAGTGTGAGCACACACATTAGTAAAACGCTGAAACTCTATGAGAAAAAATGATGACTGGCTTGATTAATTCAATAGAGCCCGAACGAGAAGAGCAACAACAGAAGAAGAAGAAGAAGAAGAAACGGCAGAAGCGGCTGTGACGACCGGATGCAAACACACAACAGGGATCCAAGTCATAGAAAGTAAACACTAGAAAACAGATGGATTACTTTTATGACATCTATAAAATGAAAACACTGAAATGAGCCCGTGAAATTGATGGCACGAAAAATTGCTCTGTGTTTCGAAACATTTTTCGTCTTCTCCCCATTTTTGACGAAATGTCCCCCAACGCCACTCATTTTTTTCCCGTTGCACTTTAACTTTATGGTCGTCTCAACGAACATAAAATCTCCGCATTATCTTCATCGGATCGAACGTTTATATCGCACAATATGTTGAAACGAATAAAAATTTCGTAAGAAATATTCATTACGAATATTTTTTATCTTTCGATTAAGTTATCATTCTGTTGAATAAAGAAATACAATCGTTAAAGTTGAAAATAGCTATAGAAAAATTAAACTCGTGTAAAAAAAATAAATCATTATTTCCATTTTTGCATAAAATGTTGACACTCAGAAAATTTGCAAAATTTGACACTCTGTATTAGGTCGCAGCGAAGGCAAAAGAGAATCATTGAACAATTGAAGCGGTTCCATTCGAGCAAACCGAAATATTCACCAATGACTCATTGCATATTAATCAACGTTTGAATACACCGAAACCGCATTTTTTCGAAATTTAAACAAAAAATACCAAGAAGCGTTCATGCGAGGCCGTTCGGTGACCGTGAAAATACACACATTTGAAATGACTGACTGGGCGGAGAGGGACGCGGACACCACAGATACAGCACGATACTGCTATGATAGACGCGAAAAACCGTTGGCGCGAACATAGCAGCAAGCGGCCACAGCAGCAACAAAAAGCGGCCAAACGACAACAAAAAATCGATATTGGCGCGCACGATGACGAAATACTTGTACATCGGTCGTGAGTCATGGACATACAGAACAGCCTCATCGGTCGCAAATCAAAAAGGGTCTTATCGAAAGCGATTGCACTTCAGGTGTCACCTCTTAATCGAAAGACGGAGACGAAAAACTAATTTGTTCCTTCGAACAGCCTTGACATTCAAAGTGGGAAAAGGCGAACCAATGAAAGAAAAAAGATTGTGATGCACCCTTTATGCAAAATTGTCGCAATCTTTAGTTAAACAATAACGCAATTGCTTCTATTTCTACAAACCGCAATTGTTTCTATCAAACTAAGTGAAAATTAATGAGCATGAGCCCAAGCGGCGCCACAATAAACTCAATTATACTTCTATTGAGCACCAATTTAGCCAGATGAATAGTACAAACGCGCATTGTGGAGAAATGTTTTGTTTTGCAACACAATTAAGCTCGAAAAACCTATATGGCTGAATTGCAAGATGACATCCCAAAGAACAGAAAATTGAACGGAGGGGAGGGGGGAGACGAGTTGCTAAAAGACTAAAGAAAACAATAATGGTTGCGTTAAGGGAGCCTGTGAGACAAGAAGGACCGTGGACCGAGGACGCCGCAGAAAAAACGAGAAAAAACTCAAGACGAATCGAAACAGGAGATGTTGAAAGAAACAAAGGCGCTAGCGAGAGAACGGCACGCTCGCTCGCTCGCACACACACACACACATATACACTCACACACACACGCTCACACTCACAACATGATGTGGTGACACGCTCGCACAGCACCACACAAAACGCAAAAACGCTCTCCTCCGACCGGCAGGCCATCCGGCGACGATGCACACGCAAAACAAGACGATCGATCGTTGGGCCGGCCAGCCGGTCGGATATATGACAAACCAGCATGCAAATGAAAAAAAGTTTCTCCCGCCCAACAAATCTTTCATCATCTTTGCATACGCAACTGGAAACAACTCGGCTGGTCGATCATTCGAGAAGACGAGGACGCCGAACCCCACTTTTCGCTGTCTTCTTCGTCTTTTTCTCTACTCATTAATGAACGAACAAGAACTCACAGAAGAAGAAAAAACATCGTGATGCCATGTGAAAAAATGTCGCTTAGAAGTATTCGGTAGTAATGCGTTTGACAGAACTGAGTTGGCATCTGTTTTCAAGGGATTAGTAAGGTAGTTTGACGTCTTTCCAAACACAACTAACCGCGACCTTCAAAATTTTGGCGTTACCTTTGACGTCTTCTGGGGACTACTATTTTTTTCAGAAGCAAGTCAAACTTTTTTCATTTTCGAATAACACGATTGTCATCATCGATCTATTGTCTAGTATCAAAAAAACAACAAAGAACAAAAAATTATATAGAATGGAGAGAATCGGGCGTTCTTTATGATGAAATAATACCGATTAGGCGAGGGGTGGCCCTTCTGTCGATATCAACGCCGAAAATCTCTTTGCAATAACCATGCGGGTTAATATAGATTGTCGATAAGTAAGAGATACGGACCTAATATCAATCGGTCTGGACGAATTTGAGTATGTGCCAAGACCGGTCTCGGGGATATTTGAGTCAATATCGAATATTATTTAATTAAGAAACGAAAATTGAGAAGCTGCTCTTCAAAGTATGCTGTTTCCCATCATTAAGGATTATTCTCGCTTTCCTCATTAGAGAAGCGAAAAATTGGTCTCAACACGAAAAATAAAACATTCAAAATGTGAAACGGCGAAGAATGAGGAGGTTCAAAATAAGGAACGACCACATCATCGTTTTGCCTACTAAAAACCTAATTTCCGCAAAAAAAAAAGCCACAGAAACGAAGACGACGACTGCCGCATTTTCCTCTTTCGCTTCTCATTTTTCTTTTATTTCAATGTAAACATCGACGCATGGATATGAAAGAATCGAGATAAGCCGAAGTTGGAAAAGGGTGGAAGAACTTGACAAAGTTAACGCACAGCCGAAAGAAACGGGTGAACGAGATAAAGAAGAAAAAAGAACACCACCACCAACAACAACTGAAGCACGAGCGACGACGAGCAGGATGCAAGTGCAAAGACTGTTTGAGCATCTTTCTTCCCATGCATTGTCAACTATACAATGATTGACAGGTGGAACTAGCGCCTCTAATGGGGGAAGAGAGACAAAGGTGCGAATTGTATCAAACAATAAAAAAAAACAAGAAAGATTGTTTTTACGTTCGCAATATACGCAATGCATCGCAATTTGAGGTCTTGAGTTTAACCCTAGCTTTTGTAAGAATTGAAGGACAAGAATACAGAATACAAAAAATGTGCTATACACATCTTTCCTCAGAGAAAAATGAATAAATAAGCTCGTTTTGAAATTGGAGCCCGAAAATGCGAATCATCTACAATATTGGTCTCGTTTCATAGAATAACCGCTATTTCGCGAGCACTGGCAATATGACTCTATTAACCAGAAATAACCAACGCCAGTCGTAAAATTCATGAGAACAGAAAATCGTGAATATTTCCCATCGAAAAAAAAGGATAAAAAACTGGCTAGGTCCAAAACGAATTGAATTGAAACGAAACGCACATGAGACACCAACGAGCAGCCAGTGAGCCCGTCCGCCAGCCAACAAAGCCGACATCATTAGCAGAATGCTTTTTGACAAGCGCTCGCTATATGTTCCCTATATGTTCTCCCTATATGTTGAATAGGACAGAATTAAGTGGATATTCAGAAATATTGGTAAAATGACGACGAGAGATAAATACGAATTCAAATTTCGCTGGCAAGCCGCTAGGGATCTCGGAGACAGCGGAAAGAAAGAGCCATCAAAACGTGTCGATGAAGGCACACTACTGTTATCATCTCGATCGCACTCTATCGGACAATCCGCTGCCTCTTTTCTACCACTATATCAATTCGTCTCTATCGTTTCCGCACTCCGCTATATCATCACACCTTCGCAAAAATTCGGACGAGTCCCGCGCGGGAATACGCTCCAACCAAGCGCAGGCCAGGCCGACCGGCGCGCGCCTCTTTCTTTCCGCCCCGCATGCAAACGGACATTACGCTTTATCTATTCGCATAATCAATTGTTTGTTGTCATATCTCGCAACTGTTTCGACATCACAAATAGATTACAAACCTACTATGCGTTCGTTTCGTCCGCAAAGATCGAGAGATGTCGGAAATTGAGGTGACGAATACGAAACAATTTACCAAATGATGCGAATATGTATATATGTCGAACATGCAGTGGCTTTTAAAGATCATAACATTATAAACTATTTTCGGAAGAAAAGTAGATTAATTGGAGGGATAAGATTACAAAAGCATCTGAAACTCATACAATACGATTAGATAATTGAATTAAATTCTGATAGATATATTTTTGTCGGATTCAAACAACTGAAGAGACCAGAGTCTT